CGTATACATACATGGTACCTATTCATAAATGGTATGTTGGTACGTGCACCATTGTAATTAAAAATTTATGTGAAAATTTGATCAATACGTCTACGATTTTGGATATTTGATGTATCAAAACGAAAACTCGATATGCAAAATTTGTTGCCATCACATAACCTACCTATTGTATACACAATGCGGGCGGTAAAAATGCTTAAAACCTAAAAATAAACAATAAAACTAAACCCAAAATCAAAAATAATAATTTTTTTTATTTTTTTCTTTCTTTTGGTGCGGAAGATAAGAGAGTACCTAACTCTGATCTTTAGGTTTACAAAATGACAAGCAAGCAAAACAGAAAAAAACATTAGAATTATAATGCAAAATTTACTAAACGCTTAAACGCAAAATTTGCAGTTTATAGTGCAAAACTTGCATTTCTTTTATATTTATTGTTCAGTTATAAATGGATCCATACTTATCCAATTTAACAAAAGGCATATAACTATGATAATAAATTGAACTCTAGAATGTGAATTCTAGAATAGCATGCAATTTTACGTACACGACGAATGACGAGAACACTGAAAGAGGAGAATGTTGAAACTGTCCCCTCTATTATGAACATCGGTATCGGCCGATATTTTATCGGCAGTTCTAATCGGTTTTAAGTTTCTTCTGTATTATGAACCGATACCGATAAAAATATTTCAACCGATTAAAAGAAGCTTTTTCATACAAATTTTTGTTTTTGTAAATTGGAGAAAAAGTTTTTTTTTTCTAATGACATTTGTTTTCTTTCAAAAGTTATTTTCAAAAAATTTTTAAAACTATTTTGAATTTGGTTTTGATGTGCTAAAAAGTTGTTGTAAGCAAATTATTTTCTGTTAAATTTGTAAAATAAAAATATACATATATCGGGAAAATGTCGCGTGCATTATATTTTGAAAGTGAAGAAACGGTAGTAAGTGAAGAAACGCAAGCTATTCAAAGACGACATATAAGAGATTCAACTAATCCATTGGATTTAGACAACAAAATGTATGTTTATGTACCTATTTTATTTTATTATTTATATAATATGTACACATTTTTTAGGTTTATCCAGAATTTCAGATTATCATTCCTTGCCAGGTTTAAGTCCTCTTCCATTTTTTCTACTAACCGCGCAATTTGTTTTTTGTTGCTTACGATTTTACTCCTAAATAAAATATATGAATAACATTTTGAAAGAAAATAATTTAGAAAAAATGCTTACATTTTAAAAAAGCAATTAATTACACCAGTTTCCTTGATAAAATGAAGATTTTACAAAAAAAAAAATCTGTCGTCTAAAAATTTGTACCCGCTTTTAAATCGGTGAAAATCCGACAATTTATCGTTTTCATAATACCAGCTAATATGTTTCCTATACAGGAAAAAAAGCTTTCCCGACTCCGATAAAATTTACCGATAAACAATGTTGGTAATACAAACACAAAATTTTGCCGATAAATTATCGTTTATCGGCCGATACCGATATACATAATAGAGGGGTGTGTTGAGTATAAAAAAAAATATGATTTACTATTGGATTAACATATAAGAGAAAATCGAATTCGCACTAACATGTTCTCAAATGAAATTTTTTTTTTAAAAATTAATATTTTGACATTTTTTATTAAAAATTTTAAGAAATAATAAAGTGGCCTATGTATGCAAATTTTATATGTATCACATTTTTGATTCGCAATATTGCATTAAAAGTCAATTCATTGGCTCGTCTTACTTGTACCGAAGTAATGAGTAGGCATATACTTTATATAAAAATTTGAATTTCTCTCATTTTCTATATTTTTACGCAATATAGTTTTTTAAAACCAGAATCTGTTTTGCTTAGCATTTTAGTAAGCAACAAAAGTAAAAGTAAAATTTGAAACAATAAAACTTTATTTAAAAAGAATAAAACAAAGCAGCATAGAAATTCTTCATATACTTTTGTTCCCACAGGCTTCCTTTTGTAGAAATAAAATTCAAAAAGTCAATATTGTTACCTAATAATTATAATTAAACTTTACTATTGAAATTTATTATGTAAAAATTTCGCATTAAAGTTTAAAATATGAATTATGTAGGTTTTGGTGAAAAATTAAGGGAAATCTTAATTAAATCTAAATCTTTAAAAATTCAAAAATTTTTATTTTTATATTAAAATAAAAAAAAGTAAACGGAAAATTTTTTTTTGTTATTTTCTCTTTCTTGTACAAAATGAAAACAAATAAATAAAGTTGAGTCAAACCAATGGTTTTAACTTTTCCTTTCAATAAGCGAAAATACTTCTTTTAAAAACGGTCTATGTATACCTACCACATTATTAAAATTATTTTCATTCATAAACGAAACTATTATAGGATTAACGAAACGATTTATGCAGTCTTTGAAATAAAGTAAAAATTAATTTAAAGAGGGCTTAACATTAGCTCGGTTTTAAAGGTTAATTGTGTTAGTTATGAAAAATAATTATATTTTTTAATGGCATGGAGTTTACCATCAGCTTTTTGAGTTTATAGATATTTGAAAAAGATTGCGGTTTCGGAAATATAAAGCGTTAAAAAATTTTCAGATGTGAAAATTTCAGGCTAATACAACGTACGGTGTAGAAGAAAGACGTGATCAAACTGACTTCAGATAACGATAAATTCTAATAATGGTCATTTTGTTTTTTTTTTTTGTTCAATTTATTCAGTTAATATATTTCTGCGTTTGAAAAATTTAAAAAATGCCTACAGTTATACTACAATAAATGGTTGAAAATGACACTTTTAGGGTTTCGGGGAGGGGGTATAACTTTAAAAGATAGGTAAAAACTTTGTTCGACGAAAATTACTTTCTATTAAAGATCTAGGCTAGGTTAGGTCAGGTTGTTGCTGCTCCTCGAAGTTTACACATAGGCCACCTAGGCCCGATGTGGTACCGTCGGATCTCTTCCCTCCCGCTCCTCATCTGAACCAACCCGAACCCCCCAAAAATCGGTTCAACTTCCTAACACTTATATTCTCTAAATCCGCAGCGTGCCCGAAGAAGTAAGACCCATGAAATCTCTGCCTGGAGCCCGCCAGTGCCGGACATAAGCATAGAAGGTGAGTCACCGTTTCCTCCTCCCCCTCGTCACAGCAACTCCTACAAAAATCGTTTGCGGGGTGGCCCATTCTCCTTGCATGTTCGCCGATCAGACAATGGCCCGTCAGTACCCCTACCACAGCACTGATATCCTCCCTTCTGAGAGAGATCAGATCCCTTATGCGCCGTAAATATAGCTTTGGCCACAAATTCCTTGTCGCGTTACACGTTGCTCTATTAGCCCATCTAAGATCGGTGCGCTCCACTGCCGCGTTGCGCAGCAGCAATCCTAGGTTTCTTAGAGGCATACCCATGTTTTCCTTTTCAGGTGGAATCTCCAGAGTAGTTCCATGCCTCGCAAACTTGTCCGCCTTGCAGTTCCCCGGAACCCCACTGTGTCCGGGGACCCAGACCAAGTTTCAAACTGCCCCACTATCTCGTTGAGAGACGACTTGCAGTCCGGGATCGTTTTAGACGTGGAACCTCAGAGCCGAGTGCCCTTATCGCGGCCTTGCTGTCAGTGAAAATACTGACGCCACCAGCCGATACGACATTGCAACCAAGCCAGCGCAGAGCCTCTCCAATTGCAGTCACCTCTGCCTGGAATACACTACAGTGATCCGGCAGATAGAAGGAGAACTCAACATCTAATTGCTCAGAATAAACTCCTCCACCCATCCTACCATCGAGTTTGGATCCGTCCGTGTAAAAATGAACTGATCCATCGTCAGTAACTCCCTCGTTTAGCCAGGCTTCCCTAAGCGGAATCGAGGTCCCAAAGTTCCTCGTGAATGAGAGCACCGGGGGAACATAATCAGTTGCCTCCACATCATGTCCACAATCCACGAGAACGGAAGCATGCCCCCTAGTGGCACAAGACCACTGAGATGCGGACAGCAAGCGCACCGCAGATCCCGCAGCCATCTGCCAGCCCAGCACATCTAATGGCGGCAGATGGAAGAGAATCTCGAGAACCTGAGTAGAGGTGGAGCATAATACCATCGCCATTCTTTGAATATTGCTTAACAGCCTGAGGTTCCCAGCAGTGTGGAGCGCTGGCCACAACACCAGAACGCCGTATATCACGATCGGCCGCATTACTGCGGTGTATAGCCAATAAACCATGCTTGGTTTTGGGCCCCACCTCTTCCCAACGGCCTTACATGGGTAAAGCGCAATAGTTGCCTTCCTTACTCTCTCCATAACGTTGGACCTCCAGTTCAACTTTGAATCAAGAATTAGGCCCAGGAATCTAGCCTCCCTGCTAAAGGAGTAAAGTAGTGCTCCGCTCCGGCGGAGTTATTGTTGGTATCTTATATCTCCTACTGAAAATAACCAGTTCCCACAGCCGTCGCTTCTCGGCCTTATGGCTAATATCAAAGTACTGTAAAGATCTATGTACAGTACATATAGATTTCAGCTTTCTATCTTCAAGGGTGTAGAAGTTTTGTAAACAGACACACGGACAAACGGACGGGCAGACGGACGGACAGAGTGAAACTAATAAAAACTTTTTTCAAAAAATTTTTTTGGAAAAGTGCTAAAAACAAGTTGCCCGATGGCTTCACATACCCGAACGTGAAAACAGCGAAGACTTGATTATTAGACTATGTTTCTTATAACTATGCCTTAACAATTTAATAAGAAAATGGGTAAAATGTAGTTCTTTGTTTAAACTTTCTTTGTCTACTTAAAAACAATATAAACCAACATTACAATGACAAAATGGTCGTTCAATCCGTTAAATATTTTTACTTGAAAATATGCAAAGTTTGAAAAAATAGATACATATGTATATTAATTAAATTTAAAAATAACCCGTAATAAAATTGTTTATACAAAGTTGCCTACTATAGTAATTTATTTCATTATGTTCAAAATAAAATAATTTTTGATAAATCTTTTAATTTTATGTTTAGGTGAAGAAAAGGATGCAATACTGTTGTTGTGTGGAATAAGCACAAGTAAACGAGATTCTAAATATATTTTAGCTTGCATTCAGACCGAAGATGAAAGCCGTCATTTTTTAAACCTTTGGGATGCCGATTTACAAGAAGATCCACTAGATTTGATCAACGACATACTAATTGAATGTCAACAAATAGCTAAAGACGTTTATAATTCTAATTTCTATATGATTCTTTCTGATGATCCTGAAATTGAAATACAACCTCCGATATGGCACGTGGTTTGTAACGCACCTGTTGTGGAATACTTTATTTTTGAAATACTTGAGGTAGAAGTTGTGGAAAACATGGTAAAAATTTTAAGAATTATTGAGAAATTAGCTAAAGAAGACGTCTTTCATCAAAACTGCCCAATCATTCTTCCAATAGAAAAAAATTGGTCAACATTTCGTGACACTTTTAGGAGTTATTTAAAAAATTATGATGATGTTCAAAAGTTACTAAAAACCAATCCGGATTTATTTGATTCGGAACTGGCAGAGTTGATTTTTAGTAATGAATTTCATATGAAAGTCCACAAAAATTTCAAACTTTTAATAGATTTAAGCGAACTTATTACGGTATCGCAGAAAGACCAATCAACTCTTGCTGAACTTGCTGAAGCATGGCTTTCACTTAATTTAGCTCCCGAATACCATGAAATATTGGAAACCTTCCGTACTAATGCGCTGACGGTATATGCGCTTGCTGCAAATTTTCTACATCCAAAGTACAAGGGCAGACACCTATCTTATGTTCAAAAGACTTTAGTAAATGAATTTATGTTGGAATCGCTAAACAGCACAGGTCAACAAGACTTACATGCATTTAAAGAAAATCTTGACATATTTAAAACTTTAAATGATCGGAATGTAACAAGTGCTAAAACATTTTGGAATATGGCTGAAAAAAGACATCCAATACTAACAAGATTAGCTAAAAAATTATTAGTGGGACCCGCTTCGACATTTGAACAAGAAAAGTGGTTTTTGAAGTTTGTAAATTGTCATGGGGATATCAGAAGTACATTGGGTATAGAAAGATTTAGGAAGTTAGCGAAAATTTACTTTACCTTCAAGTTTCAAGATCAAAATATCAAACCACATGACAGATACATGTAAAATATTAATTTTCATAATAAATAAAAGGAAAAAAGAAATTGTTTTTTTTTTTCAATAAGACTGAAAAATGTGTTAATTCCAAAATAATAGGCTTATTATGTATAAGGAACAGTACATTTCAAATCGGTTACGACTACTATCCAATTTGCAACGAAAATCTAAAATGTATTTCCATAATGGTGTCAAACAGACGACAAGTCTAAATACAAAGTCGCAAACTTGTTTTTATTACTATGTATTACATTTTAATATATAATGCTTTTCTGTAACAAAATAATACAGTTCATATACTTGTAGAATAGTTCTATATCAATATTTTTTAGCCTTCGATAGTAAGGACTTTTTCGGTATTTCAGCTCTTAGTTGTATTAGATATGCAGCTTGCTCTTTATTTATAAACTAAAAATTGGTAGTGTTCAATTTTTAAGTATTGCTTTGAAGCATGTTCTGTAGCTCATGCTGCAAGTAAAATTTTAAAAAAGCTTTAGCATATGAGCAGTTTAAAAACTTTCATTGTAAAAGTAATTTTTAACATTAAAATGTCGGAATTGAAAATTTACTAAAGGAAATTGTATAAATTTTTAGGTTAATTTGAAATTTGCTTTTTTTTAAGTCCTGAAATAATTGCGCTTTAAACAAATTTGACATAAACTCTTTTCAATTCTTTATTCACTTCTTTTTAATACTTTATTTGAAGTTGATTAATTAAACGAACAGCTAACTTTTATTCTGACATACTTGCGCATCACACAAAAGTGGCAACATGAAACTTAGGAGTGCTTCAAATATTGCAAAAAAACTTTTTTAGTTCTGATTAAGAAATTGCAGCGCATCATGCTATACCGAAAAAGTCCCAGCTTACACCCGGCTGTATATAATTTTAAATTCCGAAAGTCAAAGTTATATTTTTGTATTGCTTTGTTATTGTTCCGAATGCGTGATATATGATCATTTACCAAAATACCTTCAATCATGTTATTAATGAATTATTTTCTGATCAATGTATAACTTAGGGTTAATTATTTCTTCTTTAATTAATTTTATTTTGTATTTTGATTCGAATGACTTTTCATTATCGATTATCACGCATATCGGTACTCCCTAGTAGTACAATATGTCTCTTAGAGCCATTCGAATATCTTCATTTGATCTGTTTTTATATCGTATGTGAAAGGCTGATGATCGGTAAAGATTGTAACTTTCCTTGCTCCATATAAGAAATTTTTGAGAGAAGTAAGAAGATAATTGCTAAAAGCTCGTTTTCATTAGTAGCATAAGCCTTTTTGGTCTTTGTTAGTGTTCTAGGAAGGTAAGTTATTGGTCTGAGATAGGACTGCTCCGACTGCATGATTTGAAGCATTTGTCATCAATTCAAAATCTTTACTGAAATCTGGGTAGTTAAGTATTGCTTCTTCGGCGATTAAAGAATTTTTTAATTGCATGAATGCTGCCTTTTCTTCGTTATTTAGAGTAGTTAGCGTGTTTCTAGATTGGGAGTCGATCCGCGCTCCCCTCTCAAAAGGGATGTCAGGAGTTTTGTGATTTTCCTGAAATCCTGTATAAATCTTTTGTAATACCCTGACATTCCCAGAAAGGACTTTAATTCTTTCAAATTTTTGGGTATCGGCATGTCGCATATTGCGTGTACCTTCTTTGTATTTGTTTTAAGTCTTTTCTAGTTTTCTACGATACGAAAAATTCCAAGAATTCAATTTTATTCTTAAGGAATTCATATTTATCCTGTTGTACTTTCACCTTCGCTTTGTTCAATGTTTCAAATACGGCCTCTAAGTTCTCAATGTTTTTTTCTTCATTCTCTCCCAAGATGGTTATATCGTTTATATAGACATAACATCTTGTAACGATGTGTTGTCTAAGAATGTCATCAAGAGTCATTTGAAATTGTGAAGTGATGTTCTTCAAGAGGCTCGAAAGAGTACAGAGGTTGGCATGCGTAGCGGTAACAGGGGCACTAGGGATGACGCCAACCAAGATTTTGGAGGTCGTACTTGATTTGGATACGATGGATGAGTTGGTGAAGAATGTGGTCGCTAACAGTGCTTTGAGACTTCATGCGGCGGGATTTCTGAGGGCCAGGAGCTACACTTATGGTGGAATTTTGGTGGGAGTACGGTACGGGCGTCGGGGATCTGCGGGCTGATTATTAGGTTCTGGTGACCGACTTTCCTCTGGGGTACGATATAGGGTACAATAAAGGGAAAATAAGGAGAGAGGATCCCTATGAGGCTGTAGCTATCTGTTAGGCAGCCGAGCTACAGTAGCGTATTTTAGGCTGAGGTGCTTGCTTGGGCAATCACCATTTAAGTAGATGGCAAGACGGTTCTTGGGGCGCTGGGTTCCTGCACCGTGAAATCTAGATTGGTGGGACGATGTAGGGTGACCTTTTTCTGGGTACGTAGTAAAGCCGAAAGGGACGAGAATGTCGATCGGAGGCGGCGGCCAACATTGCAACAATAGAGTGGTTGGTGCTTCCACCCTTAAGGGAATACTATAGATGAGGAAACTAGACGAAGGGGAAATTTTCTTTGGTGTGGCGTGCAGATGTATGCAAGGACAAGAGACCTATGGCCTAATGGTTGTATAAAATCTTGAAATCATACTAATCAGTTCATATGATTTGATTCTCAACATTTTTTTTTTCAAAAGAAAACTATGTTTTTTTTTATTATATATTAAATGTACTGACACTGCATTAAAATGTAGATATTTTATCATAATTTGTGTAAACACTTAAATAAATATATATTTTTTATGAACAAAATAAATTTTTTACAAATCGAAAAAATTTGCTATTATCGACAACTGTGGTGGAGAGATGAAAAAATTTTTTTTTAATATCTAAAAGCTGCAAAAGTTCCAGACTTGTACGACCCATTTTATTGAAGAAAACCGATATCAAAATTTAAAAAAAAATCGGCTTTAGGTAACGGTTATTACAAAATTTTTTTTAAAATAAATTAAAAAATATTGTTCATTCAACATAACATATATCAAAATTATCAACATCAAAAATTGAAATATTTTTCAAAATCCTCAAAATATTAAAATTTCAATTTTTATTTATTTTCATTTATCATTATTATTATTATATTTATTCATTATTATTATTATAAATATTATTATCAATATAATTAATATTACTATTATAATTATTGTTATTATTATCAATATAATTAATATTATTATTATAATTATTGTTATTATTATTATTATTATTATTATTATTATTATTATTATTATTATTATTATTATTATTATTATTATTATTATTATTATTATTATTATTATTATTATTATTATTATTATTATTATTATTATTATTATTATTATTATTATTATTATTATTATTATTATTATTATTATTATTATTATTATTATTATTATTATTATTATTATTATTATTATTATTATTATTATTATTATTATTATTATTATTATTATTATTATTATTATTATTATTATTATTATTATTATTATTATTATTATTATTATTATTATTATTATTATTATTATTATTATTATTATTATTATTATTATTATTATTATTATTATTATTATTATTATTATTATTATTATTATTATTATTATTATTATTATTATTATTATTATTATTATTATTATTATTATTATTATTATTATTATTATTATTATTATTATTATTATTATTATTATTATTATTATTATTATTATTATTATTATTATTATTATTATTATTATTATTATTATTATTATTATTATTATTATTATTATTATTATTATTATTATTATTATTATTATTATTATTATTATTATTATTATTATTATTATTATTATTATTATTATTATTATTATTATTATTATTATTATTATTATTATTATTATTATTATTATTATTATTATTATTATTATTATTATTATTATTATTATTATTATTATTATTATTATTATTATTATTATTATTATTATTATTATTATTATTATTATTATTATTATTATTATTATTATTATTATTATTATTATTATTATTATTATTATTATTATTATTATTATTATTATTATTATTATTATTATTATTATTATTATTATTATTATTATTATTATTATTATTATTATTATTATTATTATTATTATTATTATTATTATTATTATTATTATTATTATTATTATTATTATTATTATTATTATTATTATTATTATTATTATTATTATTATTATTATTATTATTATTATTATTATTATTATTATTATTATTATTATTATTATTATTATTATTATTATTATTATTATTATTATTATTATTATTATTATTATTATTATTATTATTATTATTATTATTATTATTATTATTATTATTATTATTATTAATTATTATTATTATTATTATTATTATTATTATTATTATTATTATTATTATTATTATTATTATTATTATTATTATTATTATTATTATTATTATTATTATTATTATTATTATTATTATTATTATTATTATTATTATTATTATTATTATTATTATTATTATTATTATTATTATTATTATTATTATTATTATTATTATTATTATTATTATTATTATTATTATTATTATTATTATTATTATTATTATTATTATTATTATTATTATTATTATTATTATTATTATTATTATTATTATTATTATTATTATTATTATTATTATTATTATTATTATTATTATTATTATTATTATTATTATTATTATTATTATTATTATTATTATTATTATTATTATTATTATTATTATTATTATTATTATTATTATTATTATTATTATTATTATTATTATTATTATTATTATTATTATTATTATTATTATTATTATTATTATTATTATTATTATTATTATTATTATTATTATTATTATTATATTATTATTATTATTATTATTATTATTATTATTATTATTATTATTATTATTATTATTATTATTATTATTATTATTATTATTATTATTATTATTATTATTATTATTATTATTATTATTATTATTATTATTATTATTATTATTAT